TCAGCAGTGAACTATGCTTATTGATTAAAGAAGCAGACAGCACAGAATATGTCCATTAATGCAGAAAATTGTTTTGAATAGACATGGTAGCTTGTCCATTTTTTACTCTTAGAGAATTAACTAAGCACATTGCCGAACTTGGGCACCATGCTGCCTTCACTAAATTTTTTTCCTTTTCTTTTTTGTTGGTTGTGGGGCCTGAACTCTGGGCCTGGATGCTGTCCCTCAGCTCTTCAGCTCAAGGCTTGCCCTCTACCACTCGAGCCACAGCACCATGTCTGGGTTTTTCTACTTATGTGGTGCTGAGGAATCGAATCCAGGGCCTCATGCATGCAAGGCAAGCACTCTACCACTCAGCCACCTTCCCATCCTGCCTTCACTAATTATCATATGATATGTCCTTTGCAATTACTTGTATTCCTGTGTGTTTATTTCCATTAAAATGCTTTCCAAACATTGACACTCCATAATATTTAATAGTTAATATTTTTGTGTGATGCCAGGTAATAGATATGGTAACACCAAATGTGATTGTGATATATTACTCTTTTTTACATAATACCTTCTGAATTACAGATCAAATTTCATTATGATATTTTTAAGTGTATCATTGTACTTGGACTTTCCACTTCCAGCTTTTTGCTGGTTAATTGGTGATAAGAGTCTCAAAGCTTTGTCTGCCTAGGCTGACTTGAAATTATGATCTCCAAGTCTGAGTTTCCTGAATAGCATTACCACCAGGTGTTGTTTTATTTTTGTATTAAAATATTTTTCATTTTATTGTAATGATGCTGTATAGAGGGGTTACTGCTACATGAGTAAGGTAATAAGTACATTTCTTGTTGAGCATTATTACCTCCTCCTTTGTTTTACTTCTATTTTCCCTTCCCTCCCCCACCTCCCCCACTCCTCCTCCCCACCCCTGAAGTTGAAAAATTTATTTCCAACGTAGTATCTTGTGAGTCTCATTGTTGCAATGGATCATCAATTGTAATCTCTTTGTACAACCACTTAATAATTTTAAAAAAGAATTAAAAAAAGATTTTTGGATCTATGTTCATGAAAGATATTGGATGCTAGTTTCCTCCTCTTTCTTTTGTGGGTGAGCGCATACATGGATTTGAACTCAGTCTCCATTTGCCAAGCAGACACTACCATGTGAGATATGTCCTGAGTCCTTTTGCTCTTGTGATTTTTCTTTTTTTTTTTCTTTTTATTTTTTTATGACATAGAAGATTTTTTTTTTTTTTTTTTTGTCGGTCGTGGGGCTTGAACTCTGGGCCTGCGCGCTGTCCCTCAGCTCTCCAGCTCAAGGCGAGCGCTCTACCACTTGAGCTACAGCGCCACTTCCGGTTTTCTGGTGGTTTTTTTTATTGGAGATAGGAGTCTCACGGTCTTTCCTGCCCGGGCTGGCTTTGAACCGCGATCCTCAGATCTCAGCCTCCTGAGTAGCTAGGATTACAGGCGTGAGCCACCAGCGCCAGGCTCTTGTGATTTTTCTAAGAGTCTCTCTCTCTCTGTCTCTGTCTCTCTCTGTCTCTCTGTCTCTGTCTCTGTCTCTCTGTCTCTGTCTCTCTCTCTCTCGCCTAGTTCAATCTGAGCCATGATTCTCCTAATTATGCTTTCTGAGTAGCTTAGGGGAGAGGCACATACCAACACAGCTCCAAGTTTTTTTTATTGGTTGAGGTCTCATGAACAGTTTTCCCAGGCTAACCTCAAGTCCCAATCCTCTTGGGGTAGCTAGAATTACAAGTATGAATGACTGTGACTAGCAACTTTTCTCCTCTTTAAAATAACATTTCTGCTTTCAAGTTCAGGTAATGCTAGTATCACAAAATAAGAAAGCAAATATTCTCTCACAGATTCATGGAAGACTAGAGAGGTACAGATTGCCTTTGATTTCATAAAATGTTATGATGTGTGTCCAGCTATTCCCTTCTCCTAACCATTCAACTGTGAAACCATTGCTCAGACTTGTTTCTAGAGGTTAGGTGTTCCTAGAAAGTTTTGTAAATGGAAACCTGCATTATATTTGCTATTAAGAAGCCATTTTGGATCTGTCTCTTTCAGTTAGTTTTGATTTTTAAGGTCTGATCATGTTTTAGAAGGTTAGTAATTCATTCCATTCCAATCTTGGAATTTTCTACTGATGCCTCAAACCTGCTGTTAAATGTTTTATTGATTTTTCTAAATCACTAACAATACTCCTTTGGGAGACTTTCTCTTTAGTTTTAATTTAAAGTAGACTATAGTGATCTTTCTATTGCCAATAATTAGTACGTTTGTATTGCTGATCCCAAGAGAAGAGTTTGTTTTTATTCTAGTAGATTCCCTTGAGTTCATAACAAGTAGAAATGCTGCCAGAATTGAGGAATTTTTTGTGGCTATAGGGCACCTCATTCTTAGAAGACGTGTATTTTTCAGCAATGATTTTATATTTCATTTTTAACATTTAATTTCATTTTAAAGATGCATGATGTTCCTTATATTTTGGGTTTGAGGTTTTGAATATCAGCCATCTGAGTTTTAAGAACATTTCACAATGTTCATCATTTCTGTAATGGGAGACTGGAACATAATATAATCATTGATAGAAAGTCCCAAAATTACATAATAGATATGAATTTATACTATGGGAAGTGAAAATTCACTACAGAGAATGTGGAAATACACATTACTTCTCCATACAAAAATTAGTAATAGATCTACTAATAAATAATAAGTTTAATAAAGCAAGTAAATCTAATTATATTACTATACATCTCTTCCAAGCATAGAGAAGAATGAATGAAGATCAAGAAGGTAAGCCCAATAAAAAATTTTAACTTAACTTTGAAATCAGAAACTAAGACAAATGTGTAGTAAGCCTAATTCTTGGATATACTGAGTTTAAGTCCTGGTCTAGGATAATAAATAAAAACACATGTTTCAGAATTGTATGTCCAAGAAATTAGAACAGAACAAACATGAGTTTTAGAGATAACGTGGATAATAATACACATTTGTATGATCAAAGCTTGTGACGACTTAAAAGCTGAAGCCTATGTGTCATCAGTGTTCATCAAAAACATTAAAATATTTACTAATCTCTAGTTTGGAAAATGATGTTATGCATGTAAAGTATTATTTCCAAATCTGCATATAAAAGTAATCTATGGAAAGGAATATGATATTCATATGACAAAAGGGAAAGAATAAAGATAATGAAGTGAGTGCTTTAAGATTGTCTTTTTGTCAGTTGTGGGGCTTGAACTCTGGGCCTGGGCGCTGTCCCTCATCTCTTCAGCTCAAGGATAGCACTCTACCACTTGAGCCACAGCACCACTTCTGGTTTTATGGTGGTTTATTGGAGGTAAGAGTCTCACAGACTTTCCTGCCCAGGCTGGCTTTGAATTGCAATTCTCAGATCACATCCTCCTGAGTAGCTAGGATTACAAGCAGAAGCCACCAGCCCCTGGCCTGCTTTAAGAAACTTTAAATGTCACAAAATGCACATAATAAAGTAGATGCATACATGTAGTGCAATAGGAGGGTAGCAGTATGCAAGATGAATTCTCATAAGTAAAAAAGTGAGAAAATGATATTCTCTCTGGGATATTCAATAGTATTGTAAAGAAAAGTAGGAAGGAAACAGAAGCATGACCACAGAGCATTAGCCTAGAAAGCATAAGGTTTTGAGTTCAATCTCCAGTAAAGAAAAAAAAATCAGATGGAAGTAAGAAAACATTCCCAAATGACACAGATACATGAAAGTATCCATTTCAGAAATGTTAACTGAAAAGAAGACATGATTTTTTTTTTTTTTCTTTTTTTTTTTTTTTTTTTTTTTTTAATTTAATTTTATTTTATTTGTGAACATACTGTACAGAGGAGTTACAGTTACATGGGCAGGATAATGTGTACATTTCTTACCAAGCATTGCAGCCTCCTCCTTTGTTTATCCTTCACATCCCTTCCCAGCCTCCCCCCTCCCCCCCTAATCCCAATCCTTCTCCTTCCTCCCTCCCCCCAGCCCCCCCCCCCCACCAACATTGTAAAGTTCGTTTTGGACATGACAACTTGTACTTCTCATTGTTGCAACAGGTCCACCTGTATCCTTAAACAACTGGTTTTTCCCCATCTCCTCCACAAGTTATACTGACATCAAATATAGTGAAAGCAAGGGTTATACTGTGGGGGAGGGACATACAAAGCAACAAAGAGATAATCTTATAAATGTGTTAGAAACACATGCATGAAAGAAAAAAACATTAAAATACACATCTAAGGGTTCATTTTCCTGACATCACATTATCTGACCTTTTCCGCTTGACTCATACATATACTAGATATTACAAATAAGGGAAACCATGGGACCTACGTTTCTTTGGGCCTGGCTTACTTCACTTAATATAATTTTTTCCAACTTTTTCCATTTCCTAACAAATGGGGCAATGTCATTCTTTCTGATGGAGGCATAGAATTCCATTGTGTATATATACCACATTTTCTTGATCCATTCATCTACTGAGGGGCATCTGGGTTGGTTCCATATCTTAGCTATGGTAAATAATGCTGCAATAAACATAGTTGTGCTGGTAGCTTTAGTGTGGTCTTGTTTGTAAACATTAGGGTAAATGCCCAAAAGTGGGATTGCTGGGTCATAGGGGAGCTCTATGTGGAGTCTTTTGAGGAACCTCCATACTGCTTTCCAAAGTGGTTGAACAAGTTTACATTCCCACCAACAATGAATTAAGGTTCCTTTCTGTCCACATCCCCTCCAGCATCTGTTGTTGTTAGAGTTCTTGATTTTTGCCGTTCTCACTGGAGTGAGGTGATATCTCAATGTTGTTTTGATTTGCATTTCTTTTATGGCTAGGGATGTTGAACATTTCTTCATGTGTCTATTGGCCATCCTTCTTTCTTCTTCAGAGAAGTTTCTCTTTAAGTCTTTCGCCCACTTATTTATTGGGCAGTTGTTTCTTTGAGGATTTGTTGTTGGGGGGTTTAATTTTTTGAGTTCCAAGTATATTTTAGATATGAGACCCTTGTCCGTTGTATGGCTAGTAAAGATCTTCTCCCAATCCGTGGGCTTTCTATTGATCTTGCTAGCTATGTCATTTGCCCTGCAGAAGCTCTGCAACTTTATGCAATCCCATTTGTCCAACCTTTCTTTGATTTGTTGTGTTTCCAGGTCTCTATTCAGAAAATTTCGGCCTGAGCCAAGGAGACCTAGGGTTTCTCCTATTCCATCCTGTAATGTTTTCAGAGTGTCTGCTTTGAGTTCAAGGTCTTTGATCCATTTGGAGTTGATTCTGGTGCAGGGTGATATATAAGGATCTAGCTTAAGTTTTCTACATGTAGTTAACCAATTTTGCCAGCACCATTTACTGAAGAGGTTGTCTTTCTTCCATTCTATTGTTTTAGCTCCCTTATCGAAGATTAGATGGCTATAGGTCTGTGGGTTCATTTCTGGGTTTTCAATTCTATTCCATTGGTCCTGAGGTCTGTTCTTATGCCAATACCAAGCTGTTTTGATTACTATGGCTTTATAGTAGAGTTTGAAGTTTGGTATTGATATTCCTCCAGCAGTGTTCTTTCCATTCAGGAGCGTTTTTGCTATTCGGGGTCTTTTATTGTTCCATATGAATTTTTGGATTGCCTCTTCTATTTCCTTGAAGAATGAGGGTGGAATTTTGATAGGTATTGCGTTGAATTTGTAGATAGCCTTGGGAAGTATTGCCATTTTCACGATGTTAATCTTTCCAATCCAGGAGCATGGGAGGTTTTGCCATTTTTTAAGTTCTGTGTTGATTTCCTTTTTCAAGATTTTAAAGTTTTCATCATAGAGGTCCTTCACTTCTTTAGTTAAGTTAATTCCTAGGTATTTTATTTTTTGTGGGGCTATTACAAATGGAGTTGCTTTCCTAATTTCAGCCACACTTTTCTCATTGTTGGCATACAGAAAAGCCATTGATTTTTGGGGGTTAATTTTATAACCTGCTACTTTGCCGAAGTTTTGAATCAGCTTGAGTAATTTGGGAGTGGAGTCTATGGGATTCTTTAAATACAAGATCAAGACATGATTTTTTTTAGTAACAGGTATAATTCATTTGACTTGGTAAAATTTATTTTAGCTATCCTAATACTTAGCCTAAAGAAACAAAGATAGTTAGCACAATTTGGTAGAGGGATAATAAAAGCAATAGGGAGTGAATTATAAGTAATTAATAGGTGTTAATTAGGAGTCATCTGAAAAAAGCATTTGCTGATGAGTAAGTCTGAGAATAGATCTCCTTTTTACCTTAGTGTGTATATATATCCTAATGCAATAACATATTTTAAATTTTCTTCTTTCCCTATGTACACTTGAGAAGGCATACAAAAGAGAAATGCAGAACCAATCAATGGCATTAGATTTCATCCTTGTAGGACTGACAGATGACCCACAGTTGCAAATTGTGATCTTTCTGTTTCTGTTTCTGAACTACACATTGAGTCTGATGGGGAACCTGACCATTATCCTTCTCACTCTGCTGGATTCTCGCCTGAAGACACCAATGTACTTCTTTCTCCGTAATTTCTCCTTTTTGGAAATCATATTCACAACAGTGTGCATCCCGAGATTCTTGACGATGATTGTGACTGGAGACAAAACCATTTCTTATAATAACTGTGCAGCTCAGTTATTCTTTATCCTTCTGCTTGGAGTTACTGAGTTTTACCTCCTGGCCGCCATGTCCTATGACCGCTATGTCGCGATCTGCAAACCCCTGCATTACTCAGTCATCATGAATAAGAAAGTGTGCTACCAACTCGTGCTCAGCTCTTGGGTAACTGGGTTCTTGATCATCTTCCCTCCTTTGGCTATGGGACTCAAGCTGGATTTCTGTGCTTCAAGAGTAATTGATCACTTTATGTGTGAAACCTCTCCTATTTTGCAGATCTCTTGCACAGATACACATGTCCTAGAAATGATGTCCCTTGTTTTAGCTGTGGTGACCCTTGCGATCACATTAGTCTTAGTGATTCTCTCTTACGTTTGCATCATTAAGACTATTCTGAAGTTCCCTTCTGCCCAGCAAAGGACCAAAGCTTTCTCCACCTGCACTTCCCATATGATTGTTGTCACATTGACATATGGTAGCTGTATCTTTATGTATATTAAACCATCTGCAAAAGAACGAGTAACTGTATCCAAAGGTGTAGCTTTGTTGTATACATCAGTTGCCCCTTTACTAAACCCTTTCATTTATACTCTAAGAAACCAGCAGGTGAAGGAAGTTTTCTTGGGTCTGTTAAAAAAGATTATTTTTACAAAAAATTTTAACATTATGCTATGAATTTTAAACTTATTAAGTCCTGAAAATCCATTTCACACATTTATTTTTTTAAATAAGTTTTTTATTGTGAAAATACTGTATAGAGGGGTTACAATCATATGAGCAAGGTAATGAGTACATTTCTTATCAAACATTGTTGCCTCCTCCTTTGTTTTTCCCCTACCATCCCTTCCTTCTCATCTCCACAACTACATTACCCACACTCCCTCGCCTAAATTGTAAAGTTCATTTTTTGACATAGCGCCTTGTACATCTCATTGTTGCAATGGGTCAACCTGTATTCCTGTTTAAACAATCTTTTCTACCTCACAAGTTATATAGATCTTGAATAATATTGTAACTCATATCCAGACAACATCATGTTCTTTCTGATGAAGCATTTTGTTCTAGTACACTAACTTCTTTCAGTGTGTGTGTGTGTGTGTGTGTGTGTGTGTGTCCTTGGACTTGAACTCAGGCCTACTATGTTCCCTGAACTATTTTCTCAAGGCTAGTTCTCTACTACTTGAGCTCCAGCTGTACTGCAGGCTTTTTGGTAGTTAATTGAAGATAAGCATCTGACTGACTTTCCTAACCTGGTCTGGCTCTGAATTACAATTCTCAGATCTCAGCCTCCTAAATAGTTAGGATTATAGGTATGAGCCATTGCACCCAAATTCTTTCAGGGCTGTTTTCTTAAATCCAAATTTTAACTAGTATTTCTTTAGCGTGCATTTTCAGAACACATGGCTTTGAATAAAACGTGATTTGTGTAAGTTTAATTGGATACACATAATTTCTTAATTCAGCACGAATTTATTGTACATCTGTCTTACTCTAGACATTCCAATGGTCTCAATTCTCAATTTTACGGAGATTTTATTGCTTAAAAGAGACAAACACAGAAATCAAATCTTAGTATGCAGGATAGAATTAGTGTCATACAAAGGTATACACAAATAATTATGAGTCAAATAAGGTGACTTCTGTGGAGCTTCAAAGATTAGAGAAGTCTTTCTGCAGAATGCAATAAGTATGTTAGGACTAGATATCTGCACAAACAAAAAAATAAAATAGAAATATGTGAAAATTAGTCAGGAGTGTTAGATAGCTGCATGCATTTGGAGAATAAGCATAACAAGTGGTTAGAAAAGGATCTTGAGCTGTGTGCAGTAAAGGCTTTGGTTATAGATTATGCAAACTGTCCATACCTCTTCTTCTCTGTCTGTAACACAGGAAAATTTAACCCATCCCTCTGGTATCCTTGATTGGGACTTTCTACAATGCAGTAAAAGATAATACTTAAATTTCTGAAGAATCAAGAGAATGGGACAATATTTAATGTGGTGATTTCTGGTGGGAACAATGTTGAGTCTGGAGAGGTGGAAGTATCAAAACAATAATGGATCAAACCACCAAGGATCTTATTAGCAGACTATTTTTAAGTTAAATCTACTAATTATAAAATGTATTTTTGTAGCCAGGCATGGGTGTCTCATACCTGTAATCCTAGAAACTCAGGAGGCTGAGATCTGAGGATCACAGTTTGAAACCAGTCCAGGAAGGAAAGTCCGTGAGAATCTTATCTCTAATTAACCACCAAGAAGCTGGAAGTGGAGCTGTGGCTCCAGTGGTAGAGTGCTGACAGTAAGCAAAAAAGTTCAGGGACAGCACTGAGGTCCTTAGTTCAAGCCCTAGTACCAGCTAATATATAAAACCAGTATTATTGTAAAAATCATCTTGATAATTCTATATTCAAATTAGGGTTTTAAAATTGTTACATTGGGAGCATGATATACACTATTGAAAGATACATTGTATAATAATGAAATCAGGGGAAGAATGTGAGCATGAACTTACACATTTACTTCTTTCTATGTGCTGTTGCAAACCATTCTTAGGTTTGGGTATTATATTTATACTTATCTGTTTCAGGTCATTTTGAGATGAGAATCTCTACTTGACAATTACAGCTAGAGAAATCATGGAAAGTTTATGTAAGAAAAGACTTCAATATTTATGTGTTTTATCTTAGAGAAATCATTCTTGGAGATAATATTGACTATTAGCTACCATATAATTAAGGATATTAATGATGTGTCATTGCTTGAAATATAAATTTGGAAGCTTCGTATATAAATGGGACAGCAGGTTGACAGTAATGGTAATCCAGGCAGGGATAATTAGAAGAAACTAACGATTTAATTAAACTCTTAGACTGTGAAGACTGGGTTGAAGTCATGTTTAATTCACCATTCTCATTCCCAACATACATATTTTAAGTGGGTTTGAAGAAGTGATTTGTAAGCATCACATAAATATTTTCAGGAACACAGAAATCACCTCAATGAGTAAAATTACCAGAGAAGTAGATTATACAGTCCTAAGAAAGTCCCTGCATGAACAAGAATGGAACAAGATATAGACAGTTTAGAATGCCTTATTGTCATAGTTATTTTCTGCTACATTTTGGGTTTAACTTAGGTTCTAATTAATCATCCACTTAGACCATAGGGAAATACTAGGACTTTATGTTTTCACCTCAGTCTCCCACTTTTCTTTATAGGTCTTCCCCACTTTTCTTAACATCATAGTTTCCTGGGGTTCTGGCTTACTGTAATAAACATGTAGGGATGTGATAGTTCAATAGTATTTGTCTGATCTTATTATCATAAAGCTAAAAGTAGGGATAATTATTTTGAGCAAATATGAGTTCAGGAATCATATTACAAGATTTTAATCATAACTACAAATTAAAGTTAATTGAATTAGAGTGTTTTAACTAATTAATACAAATATCAAATACAAATAATAATAACATAATACAAACAAATATCAGATATAAATATCAAACCTTACTGCCCTTTACTACCATCCATTATATTTGAAATTTCTCTAAGAAAATTCTTATTGTTTTTGCCCTCTGCATATGAATGAATGTTCTCATATTTTAGGCTTTGAGATTTTCCACCAAGGTTTGCTTCCTAGTTAAATAGATTAAGAGAATTGTAATCTCATGTCCTTGGAGCAGTTTACCCCTTACTGCACAGTTTCCATGATACTTCCCAGGGCTGCATATATAATGTGAACATAGAAATTCATGAAATTCAAATCATTTGTTCTGTTTACTTCATTCATTTTGCTGAGGTATTCAGAATTTTTTTGGATTTTTTGCTATGAAAATACCGTACAGAGGAGTTACGATTACATGGTTATTTTTCACTTTAATTAAGATAATTTGTGAGTAACAAATTTCCTACAAATTTAAATTTGATTTATGTCTAGAATACTCTTGGCAGATGAGCAGATTAGCTCAATAGCTGTGTATGTATGACCATATAAGATGATGCTAAGCAAAATGAACTCCAAGACATGGACACAGGAGGTTTTTCTTTGTTGTTGTTTTAAATGTGCTATATGTTTTCTTGTTTCTATTGTATGTTCTTCCCCCTATGGTATATCCTATTGTCACTGTATTTGATTTTGGTACCCTGAACAAGAACAAGGGGGGAACCAATGCAACAGTAATATTCACAAGACAATATGTTGGAAGTGATCTGTATAACTTGGGGCTAGGAGGATTGAGATGGTAAGGAAAGTAGGAGAATAATGAAGGAAGGGGTAACAAGTTTGACAAGAAATGTACTTATTAGCTTACGTATGTAACTGTAACCCCTCTGTACATCACCTTGACAATAAAAAATTGATTGTAAAATGAATCAAGGGCTAGGAATATGGCTTAGTGGTAGAGTGCTTGCCCTGCATGCATGAAACCCTTGATTTGATTCCTCAGTACCACATACACAGAAAGAAGTGGAAGTGGTGCTGTGGCTCAAGTGGTAGAATGCTAGCCTTGAGCAAAAAAAGAAGCTAATAGACACGTGATGAAATGTTCAACATCTCTGGCCCTAAAAGAAATGCAAATCACACAACATTAAGATTCCATCTCACTCCAGTTAGAATGGCCATTATTGAGAAAATTAACAGTAACAAATGCTGGCAGGGATGCAGCCAAAAGGGAATTCAAGCCCAGGACTGGCAAAAAATGAATCAAATTTGGATAAAAATGATTGTGGGGAGAGGTAGAAGAAGTGAGAAAAAACATAGGAGAGACAGAGACAGAGTTATATAGAGAAAGACTGGAATCTTATTGAATATGAATATTTTCTAAAATTCATATGGAATAAATAAAAGACTCAGAATAGCAAAAACAGTCCTTAGCAGGAAGAACAGTGCTGGAGGAATATCAATACCAAACTTCAAACTCTATTACAAAGCTATAGTAATTAAAAGAAATTGGTACTGGCACAAGAATAGACCTGAGGACCAATAAAATAGAAAAGAAGACATAGAAATAAGTCTATGGACTTACAGCCACCTAATATTTGATAAGGGAGACACAAACACAGGTTCAAAGAAAGACAATAAATGGTGCTGGCAAAATTGGCTATCCACCTCGATACTCACATATCACCCTGAACCAGAATCAATTACAAATGGATCTAAGGCCTTGATGTAGGTCAGATACCTTGAAAATATTACAGGGAAGGATAGAGGAAACAGTAGGGCCCCTAGGCATCAGTTGATATTTCTTAAAGATCCAGAGTCACAACAAATTAATGAAAAACTGGATAAATGGGATTTCCTCATCCTACAGAGCTTAAAAGCCCACAGAATGGGAGAAACTTTTTGCCAGACAAAGGCCTCATATCTAAAATATACTTAGAGCTCAAAAAAATTAACCCCCACCTGGTTGCCAGTGGCTCATGCCTGTAATCCTAGTTACTCAGGAGACTGAGATCTGAAGATCGAAGTTCAAAGTCAGCCTGGGCAGGAAAGTCTGTGAAACTTTCATCTCTATTTAACTACCAGAAAACCGGAAGTGGTGCTGTGGCTCAAGTGGTAGAGCACTAGCTTTAAGCTGAAGAGCTGAGGGACAGTGCCCAGAGTTCAAGCCCCACACCCACATAAAAAAAATTAACCCCCACAAAAAGAAACCCTCAACAACTCAACTACCCAAT